GGGAAAATTGGGGATTTTGGGGGTCCTGGGGGGAAAAATTTGGGTTTTGGGGTATCCGGGGGGAAAAATTTGGGATTTTGGGGGTGCTGGGGGGAAGAATTGGGGGAGAATTTGGGGTTTGAGGAATTTTGGAGGGGTTTGTGAGGGTCTTTGAGGGGTTTTGGGGGTCCTGGGTGGAAAATTGCGGAGAAAATTGGGGATTTTGGGGAAAAAATTGGAGATTTTGGGGCTCCCAGGACTTTCTTGTCCCTTCCAGGACCCTCGGAGGGGGCGTGGCCAGACGGAGGGGGCGTGGCTACACAGCTTAATGGGCGTGGTTAAAGCGTGATTGACGTCGGTGTGAAGGGGGCGTGGTCAGAGGGCGGGGAGGGTTAATGGGATTGGCCAGAGCCAATTAGCGGCCAATTAAAGCGGCCCAGCCTTAATGAGATTAATGAGGGGGGGCGCACACAGCTCCCAGTGCTCCCAGTATGGCCCCAGTGCTCCCAGTATGGCCCCAGTGATCCCAGTATGGCCCCAGTGATCCCAGTAACCCTTCCCAGTGCTCCCAGTATGGCCCCAGTGCTCCCAGTATGGCCCCAGTGATCCCAGTATGGCCCCAGTGCTCCCAGTATGGCCCCAGTGATCCCAGTATCCCTTCCCAGTGATCCCAGTAACCCTTCCCAGTGATCCCAGTATGGCCCCAGTGATGCCAGTAACCCTTCCCAGTGATCCCAGTGCTCCCAGTATCCCTCCCAATTCCCCGCCAGTCTCCCCCAGTCCCTTCCCAGTCCATCCCAGTGCTCCCAGTACCATGCGGATGGGCCCAAATCCCCTCCCAGTCCATCCCAGTCCATCCCAGTCCATCCCAATCCCCTCCCAGTCCATCCCAGTCCCTCCCAGTATATCCCAGTACCTTCCCAGTCCACCCCAATCCCCTCCCATTCCATCCCAGTCCATCCTCCTCTCGTTCCAGTCCCCTCCCAGTCCATCCCAGTCCATCCCAGTTTATCCCAGTCCATCCCAGTCCCCTCCCAGTCCATCCCAGTCCATCCTCCTCTCGTTCCAGTTCTCTCCCAGTCCATCCTAGTCCACCCTGGTTCCCTCCCAATCCCCTCCCAGTCCATCCCAGTCCATCCCAGTCTATCCCAGTTTATCCTAGTCCATCCCACTCTCGTTCCAGTTCCCACCCAGTCCCTCCACCCCGAGCCGTGCTCCAGGGCCGGTGACTCCTGGCTCTGCTGGCTCCCTTTCCGCGGCCACATCCCGGCCGACGCCGTGTCCAGCTGGATCCAGCGCTCCGGCCGCCCGCAGTTCGTCTGCTCCACTCGCCGCCGGAACTGCAACCTGGGCGCCTTCGACCCCCAGCGCGGCCCCTTCTGCTTCTTCCCCTGGGCCGAGGAGGAGGAGACCAGCTCCGAATTCCAGCTCCTGATCAACCCCGGCGGCTTCGAGGCGCTGGACTGGGTGGACACGTCCTTCGGCAGCACCCCCGAGGGCGCGGTGGAGGGATGTCCCCTCACCGACATCTTCGTCGGCCGCAGCCCGGACGGGCTGGGAAAGGTCTCCAAGGAGCAGCAGGCGCTGTTCGTGGCCGTGGACGGCGAGGAGATTTGGTACAAATGGTACCAAATCCTGGTGGTCCGGCAAGGCCCGGCCGACGTCTCCATCGCCGACGCGTCCTACAACGGCAGCGCGGCGCTGGAGAGCGCCGAGGCCGTGGCGCTGGCCGAGGTGCTGGCGAGGAACGACGGCTGCCAGGTGGCCCCAAAATCCGTCACCTTGGAGGAGGCCACGGAGGTGGAACACGGCTGGAGCGCCGAGCTGCCGGCGCTGGCGGCTTCTCGCGGGGTGCTGCGGGCGGCTCCGCTGGTTTTCACGGAATCGGGAGGTTGGGACGTGGGGAACGTCACCTCGGTGCCGTGGGCCGGCGGCGCCAGCGCCACCGAGTTCGTGTGGCGCGTCCACCGGCTCCGCGAGGAGATCCCGGCGCGCTCCGAGTGCGCCGTGGTTCTCCGGGGGATCCGGCGCGAGATCCGCGTCCCCTTCTCGGCTTGGCTGACCAGGGAATTTCGCTCCGGCCGCCAGCACCGCGTGGTCATCACCGGCTGGGCGCAGAGCCGGGCAGTCACCGGCGTCCACGCCGGCCTGGAGCGCTGCCGCCAGCTCGCCGAGCTTCCGCCGTGCCCCAATTAAGGCAATTCCTGGAATTGAGCTTTTCCTCATGGTTTTTCCTTCCCCGCCCCCCCCAAAAAAAAAACCCCTCCAAAAATCCACGGAAACTCTCGGCTTTGGTGCGGTTTTCCCGTATTTTCAGCTTTTATGGCATAAACTTCACCCCAAAATGCAGGGAAATGTGGTTTTCTGGCTGTGTTTCCTTTTTTTTCTCCCCGAAAATCCAACGCCACCGTGAAACTCGGGAAAACCCTTTCAGGAAAAGGTTCTGGGGGTTTTTTTTCCCAGTATTTTTTGGTTTCGTGGTGTAACCTCCATCCCTGCCTGGAACAACGCTGGGAAATCTGCTGGAATTTCCTGTTTTCTCCCCAAACCCCCTCCAGGTTCCTGAAATCCAGGAAAATTGCTCCATTTGTTGGTTTTTTTTTTTTTTCCCAACCCTTTTAATTTGCATGGCAGAACCTTCACCCCTGTCTGAAATGGCAAAAAACTCTGGTCTTATCCACTAAAATTTCCCTTTTCTCCCCCCAAAAAACCTCCAGGTTCTTTCCTCCATGGAAAAAATCGCTGGGTTTGGTTTGTCTCCCGTTTTTCTGGTGTTTTTTGTGGCACAACCTTCATCCCTGCCCAAAACTGTGGAGCATCAATGCAGGAAAACGTGGCGTTTTCCATCTGAATTTTCCACCAAAAAAGGGGATTTTGGAAGCAAAGAGATAAGGAAAGATGGGGGGAAAAAACCAAAATAAAGGATGCAGAGGGATCTCTGGGGTGGGGTTTCCCTGGGGAGCTCAGGAGGGGGAAAAAAAAAATCCCAGAATTCAATGAAGGAACCCCATTCCAAGGCTTGGGGGGAATGTCCAGGATTTTTGGGGATCTGGGATTGGGGGGAGGAGTCTCTGGGACAATCCAGGTTTGGGAGGGAGAGATTGGGGGTCCTGGAATTCTGAGGGGTCCAGGGAGCTGGGGGAGGGAGCAGGAATTTGGGGATATCCCGAATTTTTGGGGGAAATGGGATCATGGAGCCACCATGGGGGTGTCAACAGTCATGTTGGATCTTCAGGAGCAGGGAATGGGATTGTGGAGTCAACATCATCAGCTCATGCCCCTCCTCATCTGTGTTTGATCCACTTGGGAACAATCCTGGGGCCACCAGGTCCCGGGGAACATCCCTCACCTCTGTCCCCTCTCCGGGACCAGAGAGACAAGCCCTGGAGCCACTGGGCCCGTGGAGTCCACCAGTCATGGTGCCACCACCTGTGCTGGACCTCTGGGAGCAGGGAACGGGATCTGGGAGACAACAACCATCAGCTCATGTCCATCCTCATCCACGTTTGAGCCACCTCAGGACAGTCCTGGGGCCACCAGCTCCCGGGGGACACCGTTCCCATCTCCAGGATCAAAGATCTGGAGCCACCAGGCTCACGGGGCCCATCAGTCATGGTCCCGTTATCCTTCTGGATCTCCGGGAGCAGGGACTGGGATGATGGAGCCACCAGGCCATGGGAGACATCAGCCATCAACTGATGTCCATCCTCATCCGTGTTTGAGCCACCTCAGGACAGTCCTGGGGCCACGAGCTCCTGGGGGACATCAATCCCACCCATGTTGGACCTCTGAGAGCAGGGAACGGGATCCGAAAGCACCAGGACCTGGGGGATGTCCCACCACCCATACGGGGTCTCTGGGAGCAGGGAACGGGATCTGGGAGACATCAACCATCAGCTCACGTCCATCCTCATCCGTGTTTGAACCACCTTAGGACAGTCCTGAGGCCACCAGCTCCCGGGGGACATCAATCCCACCCATGCTGGACCTCTGAGCGCAGGGAATGGGATCCCAGAGCAGCAGGACCTGGGGGATGTCCCACCACCCATCCTGGATCTCTGGGAGCAGGGAACGGGATCTGGGAGACATCAACCATCAACTGATGTCCATCCTCATCCATGTTTGAACCACCTCAGGACAGTCCTGGGGTCACCAGCTCCCGGGGGACATCAATCCCACCCATGCTGGACCTCTGAGCGCAGGGAGCGGGATCCCAGAGCAGCAGGTCCTGAGGGACATCCCACCACCCACACTGGATCTCTGGGAGCAGGGAACAAGGAATGATGGAGCCACCAGGCCATGGGAGACATCAACCATCAACTCATATCCATCCTCATCCGTGTTTGAGCCACCTCAGGACAGTCCTGGGGCCACCAGCTCCTGGGGGACATCAATCCCACCCATGCTGGACCTCTGAGAGCAGGGAACGGGATGCTGGAGCCACCAGGCCATGGGAGACATCAACCATCAACTCATATCCATCCTCATCCGTGTTTGAGCCACCTCAGGACAGTCCTGGGGCCACCAGCTCCCGGGGGACATCAATCCCACCCATGTTGGACCTCTGAGAGCAGGGAACGGGATCTGGGAGACATCAACCATCAGCTCACGTCCATCCTCATCCGTGTTTGAGCCACCTCAGGACAGTCCTGGGGCCACCAGCTCCCGGGGGACACCGCTCCCATCTCCAGGATCAAAGATCTGGAGCCACCAGGCTCACGGGGCCCATCAGTCATGGTCCCGTTATCCTTCTGGATCTCCAGGAGCAGGGACTGGGATGATGGAGCCACCAGGCCATGGGAGACATCAACCATCAGCTCACGTCCATCCTCATCCATGTTTGAGCCACCTCAGGACAGTCCTGGGGCCACCAGCTCCTGGGCAACACCGCTCCCATCTCCAGGATCAAAGACCTGGAGCCACCAGGCTCACGGGGCCTCATCCCCCGATCCGACACCACCCAGCGCTGTCCCCCCACGGCCACCACCGCCCCCCAGCCGCCGTCACTTGTCCCTGGCGTGGATCCGCGTGTGCCGGGCCAGCGAGGACTTGTTGCTGAAGCTCTTGCCGCAGTGGCCGCAGGGGAAGGGCCGCTCGCCGGTGTGGGAGCGCTCGTGCACCGTCAGGTCCGCCAGGTACTTGAAGCTCTTGCTGCAGGTCCGGCAGGGGTAGGGCCGCTCCTGGGTGTGGCTGCGGCGGTGCATGGTCAGGTTGGACTGCTGGCTGAAGCGCTTGCCGCAGGCCGGGCAGGGGTACGGCCGCTCGCCCGTGTGCGAGCGCTGGTGCTTGTTGAGGTCCGAGGGGTTGGTGAAGCTCTTCCCGCAGGCGCCGCAGCCGTAGGGCCGCTCGCCGGTGTGCAGCCGCCGGTGCGTGGTCAGCGTGGACAGGTGGCCGAAGCGCTTGCCGCAGGCGCCGCAGCCGTAGGGCTTCACCCCCGTGTGCGTCCGCTCGTGGGTCTTCAGGTGGGTCAGGCGGCCGAAGCTCTTCCCGCACTGA